GCAGCTCTTACATTAATTTGAAAAAGTTTTCCAATTACATGTGGATTGCCTCCTTGGAGGGAGCACGAGCATGTAATAGCCCTAAGGGCGAGGCTTTCTCCCATCAATTTGTGCCCATATTGTTACCCCCAAGTGCAGAAAGATAAGATCGAGAGATTGAACTGAGAGATGTTAGAGGTAGGGGTAATACAACCTAGTGTGAGTCATTTCCCTAGCCCGGTCATGCTAATAAAGAAGGATGGGAGTTCGTATTTTTTTGTGGATTATCATTCAACGAATAAGGAATTAGTACGTGATAAATTTTTCATCCCGATGAATAGTGAGCTACTGGACGAGTTGTTTGAGGATGTCATATTTTTCAATGTTTGACTTGAAGTCGGGATTACCATTAGATTCGAATGCGGCCATCGAATGTGCAAAATACAGTTTTTTGAAATCATGAGGGTCGCTATGAATTTAGTGTTATGCCATTCAGGTTCACCAACAATCAGGCTACACTTCAACCACTAATGAACAAGATATCTTAGCCTTTCCTCCGGAAGTTTGTGTTGGTGTTCTTTGACGATAATCTAGTGTAAAGTTGCTCCGTGGAAGACAACATTGATCACTTGAACAATGTGTTGATGGTACTCGGTGAACGCCAACTCTACGCTAACTTGAAAAGGAGTTTCTTAGCCAAACCGAATGTGGAGTACTTCGGACATGTGGAGTCGATTGCAATGTTGTCATAAGAAAAATCAAAGGTGGCAGCTATGGTGAATTAGCCACTAACTAAGACCTTGAAAGAGTTGAGAGGATTTTTCGAACATACACGGTACTAACGAGAGTTTGTGACGGATTACAGATCAATTGTGTGGCTATTAACAGAGCAATTAAAGAAGGATAACTTTCAGTGGGAAAAAGTGACAACCCAGTTTTTCAAAAAAAGGCTATGACGAGCATATATGTGGGGGCATTAACTGACTTCAGTCCATTCATTGTAGATATGGATGGATCAGATTATAGGTTAGGCGCAATCCTCATGAAGTGTCAACGACCCATCGCTTATTTCAGTCAAGTGCAGACTGTGAGAGCCAGACATAAGTCAGTTTATGAGCTAGTGCTTATAGCGATTGTGCTTGTTATTCAGAAATGGAGGCCTTATTTGTTGAGGTGGTGCTTTATAGTATGCACGGATCAACGCAGCCTTAAATTTATGTTAGAACAACGTATGGGACTTAGGGACATCAAAAAAGGTTATCTAAGCTAGTGGGACATGAATTTGAGATTTAATATCACCTAGTATTAGAAAATAATGTCATTGATGCCTTATCACGACGGATGGAGGAACCTCAATTGTTTGCATTATTAATCGCTTTGGTCCATAGGTTAGGAGATCTGGGGACGAGAGTGAGGCAAATGAGAAATTGGGCCAGATATGGTCGATTTTATTGGATGGTGAGAACAGTTATCCCAGTTATTCATTGAATGGCCAACTTTACCAGGGACACTATGCTATTCTAAAAGCCAAGACAGATGTTAAAGTTATTACAAGAGTCTCACAACACCGCTATCGGCGGCATTCAAGAATGCTCAAAACATACTAAAGGACAGCAGCATATTTGCATTGGGTGAAAATGAGAGGATGTGAAGGTAATGGTCTCAAATTGCAATGTGTGTCAACGGTAAAAATATATGGTGTTAGCTCCCATGGTATTGCTACAGCCTCTAGCATTACTAGAGAATGTATGGGAGGTGATGACTATGGATTTCATTAAAGGCTTGCCTCGATCAGAAAAATGATCGGTCATTTTGGTGGCGGTGGATTAGTTGAGCAAGTTCACTCACTTTCTACCTCTACGCCATCCCTACATTGTTGCTTATGTCGTTACTTTCATATAGGAGGTTGTTCTTTTGCATGGGATTCCAAAATCGATAATGTTGCATCGAGATAAATTCTTCTTGAGTCATTTCTAGAGGGATCAACTTAGAATGCAAGGGATCTTATTAAAAAAAAGTACAATGCATCACCCAAAGACTGATGGACAGACTAAAATTGTGAATCGGAGCATGGGGAGCTATTTGTGCTCTTTGCATCTGACACTCCCAAACAATGGGCTAGATGGCTATCTTGAGAAGGGTATTGGTACAACGCATTGGTATCATACAACTTCTCAGGCCACTCCTTTGTGTAAGATCGCAATGCACTCCATTTAGTGTATTGTGGACAAAATCCTATGTTGGTCTCTTGTAGATCAGCACTTAAAAGAAAGACACAAGGTGCTCGGAACATTTATTGAAAGATGAAAAAATTTTGAAGAAATAAACTGGCGGATATCAAAGCGATGGGCAGTTTGTAGTAAAAGATAAGGTTTATCAAAAACTTCAACCCTATCGGCAAAAAACCTTGGCCAACACAGCAATTAAATACTCTCCTTTAATGAGATCACTAAATTGAACCTATATAAATTGTCGCCTTCATCAAAAACTTCAACCCTATTGTTTAAAATTGTCGCCTTCATCAACACTCCGTCCAATGTTCCACATATCATAGTTGAGACGACCTATTGGTGATAATGTGTCATCTTCATCACTTCCCCTAATTTGATTGAAAATATGAAAGTTCTCTTAGCGTCACGTGAGTTAAAAGGGGTACACCATGAATTGATAGATGGGAAAAAGTGATATTAAATGCAAATAGTTGCTTGATTATGATGCCACGCGAAGCCATATAACGTGTTCCAATAATAATTTCCTCTATTGTACCTTGAAGGCAATGTGTCTTATTGGGAGGGGAAGGATGTCAGATCGGCGCCTTCCGCCCGTGCATGATGAGTCTGCCAAATAATTTGAAGACTTATTTTAGGCGCAAAACAAAAAGTCAAATTTAGTCATTTATTAGTTATAATTATTTGGTATGAATAGGACTTAATAAGATTAGTGTTCGGGCATATGATTATTGTTTTGAATCTTAGGGTTAAGGCTTGGGAGAGAATAGCCTACCTATCAAATTGTAGGTCTATCGTTTAATTATTTGAGATTGTGTTGTTTTGTGTCGATGGAGTAAGAAATTTTATTTTGCCCAAATCTCTGTGAAAACTTATCTCGTTCCTATTAGATACTCAAGAATAGCTTAAGCTTATCACACCAACAACCCAAGTTAGTAGGTCACAAGAAACACCCAAGCTCACTAATTGTTATTTTTCTTCAATTTATTATCTATTGCTTAAGGAAGACTAACAGCCCTAGAGATATCATAAGCCATATGAGCAACAAAATTCTATCAAGTAGGAGCTTATCATGAAAGAAGAAATGGAGTCTCTTTAATGGTAGAAAAGCGTTGCAAAAAAATAATGGATAACATATGTTAGGAAAAATAGACAAATTATAAGGTCGGGCTTATTGTATAATAGAGGTTTAGCATTAATGAAGTGCAGACTTTACTAACATATTTTCCCTCGTGTTTAAACTAATTATTTGACCGGAATTAAACATCGTAACAGCATCGACTCTACACCTTGATCATAAGGAAGACATTGTAGCCAGCTTTCCTTTATGATAGCTCAGACGAAAGGTATCGACACGGTGCAAATTAAAGGCTTTTTTGAATCAGAAAAAAGAAAGCAGTATATACAAACTAAACAATAGATTTTAGTGCAACCAAAAATGGATTCATCATAGAATAAATTTTAGCAGATATAATGCTGTTTATTGTTGCTGTATTAGAAGAATAATAAATATTGTATTATTTTATTCTTGTGTGAGAGATGTGTTAATTGCAAGTGTTGGCACTGATTATATCAATGACTCAAGGAGTTAGCTATTAAAGGAATTTTACAAATAGATTTTGGGGAAGCCAAAAATTTTTAAAAATAAGAATGGATTACAACAAGGTATCAAGCACCTTAAATATTTCATATCTACAGTATATGGAAAAGATGTTGGATAATTTTAATATAGCAAAGGTAGAGATTGTAAGTACACTACTAACTAAGCACATCAATTTATCAAAAGAACTAAAGCCAGAAATTAAAGAGAAAAAGGAGCACGGTGCCTTATCCCTCCACATCAATCGACCTAACCTACGGCCAAGCCTCCTCCCTTGGCCTGCACTCTAGCTAAATCCAACAAGCCCAAGTGCCACTAAATCACACAACTTCCCACAGCATCCATCCCTCAAAAATACAAAACTACCATTTCCTACTAGCAGCTCCGGTCGTGCTTCCATCTTCACTTGCTTCTTATGTTGAGTTAACCAAAACACTTTAAAATCATAGCAAATAAATTTCGGAAAACTAATGCAAGGTGACTAAGAAGTAGGAAAGGATGAGAATCCTAACAAAGGTAAAGTTATTGATACAGATGCAATTAAACTAGAACCAATATAAAAAACAAATCTTGACAAAAATGAATGCTGAAAAAGCAATTAAATGGTTGGACAAAGCACAGTTTCGATAATGAAAAAGACGTTCGTCATGGCAACAATAGTGAGTAAATTTTCTAGTGTTATTAGCAGAATCGGCATTTGCAATTGTTATGAGATTGCAATGGAACGCTTGAAAAAAGGAATTGCGGATGAAACCAATTGATGTGAGACCCCTAAGAAACTAACTGTGTTTATCTTTTAATGTTGACATAACAAATCATTGAACGGCAGATAGAAATCAAGATGTCATTTCTGCTCTGGTAATAAAAGGAATCAATGATCTTTGACAATTGAACAATTGAATCCCATGATTAGCATGTTTATACAAAACCCACCAAATCAGAGCACAAACAGACACAAAAGGTCAAGAGAATATTGTCAAGTTTTTTGTTAAATAAGTACCACAGGCTAACCAAATAACAATCTATTGTGCTGGTAGTAAAGTAATGCGGTAATGATTGGTATGCTAACTTATCATAATAAACATAAATAAACTAATAATAGAGCATTAATGTATGTGTGACATAAGCCAAACTGAATCAGAGCTGAAAGTAGTTCAAGTAAAATAAAATAAAAGCACAGTTAGGACACGTACAGCTGACCATCCATTAAAATTTGTACTCTTCAGTATTTGCACTGGCCTGTGATAGAGACATTAAATTTAATCAGAAAAAATTGAAAATTATTCAACGAACAGAATGTACAACTCACGTATCAACTGGGCAAAGCAGCATGCATTCATCTCCATGAGAACTTTGGAACACTCTCCTAATAACACATTCTAGGGGCAGGTCGTTTGTAGCATCAACCTGCATACAATTAGTACCAATGATAATTTTAGAAGATTAGTCACAAATATGATGTCAAATACAAAAAGTTGTTTTAATCATTTTCCCAACCCAGCCTAATAACTTAGAAATAACCAAGTTAAGAGCTGCGGTCAGAAGATATAATAAATGTCTTCTAAATTATACAATAAATCATCATCGCTTATAATAATAAAAAAATCACTAAAAATCACAAAGTACAGTAAACAAAAATCAAATCTAACAAAAGTAAAAACATAGTCTGAAAGTGAAACATTATCACAATCCAACCAACAGGTATTAAATTGAAATAAACAACACAAGAAACAAGGGCCCTGTTTGGGATCGCTTTTAGTTTTTTTTCTATTTTGAAAATAAAAAATAGAAAACAAACTCAAAAATAGTGTTTCCTTATTCGTTTTTTGTTTTCCTTTTAAATTTTATTTTTAAAACACATGACACTTGTTTTCAAAACATCAAAAACACAAAAAAAAATGTGTTTTTTGTTGTTTTAAAAACATATTTTTTGAAGCATTACTTGTGCAAGACTCCGTCGCCCGCTGCCACATTTTGGTTATTGCTGCCCGTCACCTATCGCATCACATCGTAAGCCACACGCCGGCGCCGCCCACCGATCTCACGATGTCGTTGGACGCCGTCGCCGCCGGCCCCCACCAGTAGTCGCTACACTGCGCTCACCCGCTGACTGCCCGATGTCGCCTGCCAAATGCCACCTGCCACCGGCGACTGCCAGTCACTGATTGTCGTTGTCAGCCCCCACTAGCTGTTGTCGTAGGTCGTCAATCGTCGCTGACCACTGTTGTCGTCATCCGCCCCCACCCGCCCAGATGTAAAACTTCATGCTGGGTGGAGCAAATAAGATGTATACATCATGAATAGCAAAACTTAACGTTGGAGCATACGTGGACCCAACCATTTTATATAAGTTTAATTTTTTCTTTTAAAAAAAGTAAAAAATACCCAACCAAACATATTTTATATTTTTCATTTTTAAAAATATATAAATCATAACGGTACTAAACATGTTTTCAAAAAACAGAAAATAAAAAATAAACAAAAAGCAGACTAAAAACAAAAACAAAAATAGAAAATAGAAAGTTATCCCAAACAGACTTTAAACTATACCAAACCACCTACTATCTAGTATCAGTAATCTTCCTCTTGTATACCACCTCTCTCCCGCCAATCATATCAATTTAAAGTTTTAACAAAAAAAAAAATTAATTTGAACAATAAGTTTACCACAACTTAGTGAACAATTACAATCTTATTATGCATTAAATTAATATGCAAATGTTATAAATGAATGTCCAAAAGAAATGTGATTCATAAATTAATCAAACTGTAAACTTTCATTTTAAATTAATCATTCATATTTAATTTAAGTCATTTATCTTTTTAACTTTTTTCTTTATTTTTAAGAAGTCGTATCAGAATCACCATCATATTTGAAGGTATCCTAAAAAAGTTTGTACTTATATGTACACTCAAAATCTTGCACCCAAAGGTACGTCTTTACCATTTTCTTTTTCTTTTCAATGCACAGTTAAAATAGCATCCTTAGCTGGTAACATAAAGGGGTAAATCTCGTTTGACTTAAGCCTTTACTTCTTATCATTTAATATCAAGTTAAAATCATTTAAACGTAATTTCACATTTCAATTCTTTTTTTCCATTTGTGATATATCTTCCAAACATTCAAAATGCAAATCATAAAAGAAATCTAATTTTAAATTAATATTGTAAGTTCATTTTTACCAATGTTATAAAAATCATTTATCTCTAAAATACAACTTTTAAATAAATTATTAATTTAATAATAAAATAAGAAAGCAATTACTCACATGAAATTTGAATGTCTTCCTCTTCCCCTTGAATTCCCTTTTACAATTGGTCTTGATTAAGTCTCTATCCTTCTGCTTATAATTTCTGATTAACATTTTAATAAAAATTTTGATGTTAAATTGAAGCATTTCCTTAATAAGTAATTAAAGCAAAGCTTGACCCAATTTACCTTAATTGGAATGCTTGGGTTAAAAACGAACCCGCCTCCTTTTTTTCCTTTAATTTGAACGCTTATTCAAATTTAATCATAATCACTGATGTTCATTAATAATGTTTAAAAGTCAATTTTAATAACATCTAGTTAAATAAATAAAATTTCTTATATTAAAAAACACAACATTGCTTAATCCATAGCTCGGCTCTCCCTTCACTCACACACGACCCCTCTTCCCACATAAAATCCTTCCTCCGCATGTGAGGCTCAGTTTCTTCTCCCGCAAGAACCCAAAAGCTTCTCTCCTTCCTTCTTCCTTCAAGCTCAACTCGATTACGTCATCGCAAGTGAAGCAACGATGCTTCGAATCTTCTTTGGCTTCAACAAAGATGACGCAGCACGACTCTTCTTTGGCTTCAACAAAGATAACGCAGCGTCACCTAAACCCGCGCCTCTCCTTCCTCCACAAGCGGCTCGACCTGACCTTCCGCAAGCACAGAAGAACAGATTGTCCACCACTCTGCTTCATTCACGCACGACAACGACACTAGGGCCTCATTTCTCCTTCTTCTTAACTCTTCTTCTCTTAGGGCAATGATTTTTTTTCCATTTCCCCTTCTCAATCTCATTTTCTCTCTCTCATGTTCTCATTCTCTCTGTTTCGTTGCTTTGAAAGAGGATATACGACTCTTAAGTCAAAGTTTAAGAGACGCTTGTCCTCGCTGCTCATTATTATTATTATTATTATTACAGTTACAATCACTACTAACTATAAACAAAAATATAATGAATGATTTTAATGAATTACATCGATTTTCAAATTGGATGTAGCTCGAGAATTCTAAAGTGTTGCCTGCCAGCTGTAGTTTATTTCTACCCGATTCTAATAGTTAGTCAAGATCTTTAGCTAGCCAATGGTTACCAGTTTACTTATGAGCAGTAGAGTGCATGAAATAAATTGACCTCATCTGAAATATCTAAAAATTTTCATAATGTGTACTAAAGCTACAAGAAAAAAAGTTGAATCGACAAACTCCAAGCATTCCATAAAAAACAACATAATTGGCACCATCCCAATTGATTGAGCTAGGCAGGCTTTATGAAGCTTCAGACTCATTCACGCAGATGTAAATTTGAACTATTTTTTCATGAGAATTGGAAGGAAAATAAAAGTCAAATCAGAGGTATGACGAAGGTGAGTTGAAAGTACTCAAGGGAATGATCACCATATATTTTTATATTTCACTTAAAAAAAGTTGTTTATTTAAAGGCACCTTAGTCCATACTCAAAACTAGAGTAAAACAGTGAGATCTTTGCCCTCCAGTTTAAATACATCATAATAATAGGTTTTAGTTTATATAATAAATCAAGTCATTTTGGCATTACTCCTAAAATAAAAGAGACCAATCCAGATGAGATCCAATGAAGATATATTATTTGCTCGAAGGATTTTAGTTAATGCAATGGAGAAAGGGTGGAAGACAACAAAGCCATGCACCAACAAGATTGACTATGTTTATTGTGATCCAAAAAAAAATGTAAAAAAACAATCGACATGAACAGAATTAAATAGAAACATAAAATAGCACGATTGAATTGCAATATTAAAAATTTTATTATTCTTGATTCAGACGTATCTAGTCTAGAAGGCTCTTAAGAAATTTTATGAATTTAATCTTAAATTAAAAATAAATATAACAAAAGCTATAGTTGCAAAATTTGCAAATTAAATTTCGTTAGAATACAGAGGGCAACCACGAAAAAATAGGAAAAGAGATTTAAGAGAGAATTAAGTTGTCCTAAAATCACTCCACAAAATAATGCCGTTATTTAAAGGGTCAATCATCTTTCATTGAGAAAATTAAAGAGATTTCTTATTTGCAAAGGATGGTTATCCATAATTCAAATGTTTATTAGATATCTAGGATAAAGTTTCATAAATTTGTGCATTTAGCTAGGTTGTAGAATGATTTGAATTGGAAGCTATTTTCAAGAAATGGGAGGTTTTAGAATGTAAAAATGCAAGTTGAAATTTTTAAATTATTTTATCTAATGCGGAAGCGTAAGTGTCTCAGAAGCGAGAGGGATCATGCAATCCCATGTCTGTGCAAGTCTGGCAGCCAATTCCTGTGAATGAAGTAGAACCGAAGCAGACAACATTCATTTTTTTTCCAACTTCTTCTCTAATCATTTCCTTTATATATGAGTTGTTTTAGGGTTTGGATCAGTAGTTTTCTTTGTGTTTTTGTTCAGGACAGTCGTCGGCATATTAGTTTTTCCCTTCTAAAATTGTATCCAAGGGACAAGTGGTACTCTGGCTATATCTAGCTCTCGCGGTAGTTATTATCCTCATCTATCCTTCTCTACATCCTTCCTTTGCTAACTCTATCCTCCCTCCATGTTGCAGTCACCCAGACAACCCACCACAGTTTTCCTGCAATCCTATCGCCGCCCTACAGCCAGCCACCTTCTCCCTCCCAGTTGCCACCCTGCTCCAGCCTCCCTGTTGCAGTCCTCCTCCCAACCTAATTGTCATCCCACCATAGCCAAGCTTTCAGTTTCAGCCTCCTAGTCGCGGCCTTCCTCCCATCTTATTCCATCCCACCACAACCAAATCCCGCCATCCAACTGCAGTCTTCTAACGCCCCTTCGTCTCATATAGTCGATCACCATCCTTTTGGAAGACATCCCTAGTAGCATTTATGTCGTGTTTGTTGTTATTTATATTTTCATTTGAGTGATTGTATTTCCTTATTTTGAATTCAACAATAATATTTGATTTTCCTATTGTTGTTTGGGTCAACTCCTGCATTTAGTATCAGAGCCAGGTTAGCACTAATCATACCCTAGGGTTACCAAAATCCACCACTACATACCCCAAACTCCACCCAAAAACTCTTCCCTTTCCTAATTTTTAAAATCAGCCGCCCAAATTTTTCTTTCCCACCAAAAATGACACCCATATACCATTTTCCACCTCCC